TTAAGTTGGGAAATTCTGTATTTGAGTTAAGCATCCTAGAAATTTAGGAGAGATGTTGAGAGAGTGGGAAGGGGCACAATCATCTAATGAATGAAATCGTTTCTTTTTTACATTGCAATTGGCTAGAGAGGCCCCATGAAGAAAAGTGCATTTACACTGCACAGCTTTTTAGGAGCACGAATACATATATTATGATGGCTTAGAGGCTAGGCCAAAGCTTGAGGCTTTATTCTTGCTTTAGTAACTAGATTTCGTCTAATCAGATAACAGCAGCAATGCCAATTTTCACAGTAGCACTAGCCTTCATGTGGCCAGTCTAAGAACAAAGGCTTACTGTTTGTGATGTATCTTTCAAGATCTTTTTTCAGTTCCTAATGTTTTTGGGTAGAGATGGAAGCAAAGAGCACTGTCTCCTATGCATTGATTTTACAGGCAAGAAATAGACCCTGAAGTTTTTTAATCCTATCTTTCTTTCTTCCCTTTATCTGGGGAGCTTTTGTTGCTACCTCTGACAACTAGTGGTGCTTCACAGAAAGACACCAGGGTAACAGCAGCACTCATGCAGGCTCCAAGTGAGCTCTCGCATCATCCTGTCCAGACAGCAAGACCCTAAGCTACAGAGCTAAAGGGAGAAAAAGCCTTCCAACTTGGCAGTAGGATTAATGTTTATCCCTTAATCCTTAATCCTAAAGCAGGCTTGCAGCAATTACAGATGAGATTCTCACATACTCATCAAAAGATACTGCTACCTTTATTATATATATACCCTATTCATCTGTGATTCAATGACCTACAGAAAATGGCCTGGATGTTTTTATGAAAATTAAGATGAGAAAAAACAAATTTTTTTGGTGCAGCTTATAAAAAATTTACCAGCTTTACCTCACTCTTTACCTTTTTATCCACCAACAACTTCTCAAACACCTGAATGATCAGTATTCGTGGTCACAGGACTTCATCTTTATGCAATTATTTCAAACAATCTGTGCTTTTGGTGGGCACAGAATTCCTCTGGCTGAGTTGTCATCTAGGAAAACTCTCCTTAGGAGGCCTATCATGGTTCCTCAAATGGGTTATTGAAAAGATTTTAAAACTCTTTAAATCTTATTGATGATTATATCAGACTGGTCTTCTCTAGAGTCCACCCAGATAGCCAGTGCCTCTGCTGCTCGGTTCCCCAAAACCTCAGCTGACAACTGAGAACCATTTAGGCTGCTGCTCATTTTCACAAGCACACACAGTACATGTCTGTTCACTTCCACCAGCCTGTGCCAGTTCGTATTTGACCTAGAGTTACATGGCAGAAGCACAAGAGGCTGCTAAAGAGAGTGAGCATGCTCTTGAATGCTGCACAAAACCACTTCTGAGACTAAAATGTTCCTTTCACATCACTCTTTTATAACACAAGCAAATACTCTCGGCTATCACCAAGGACAAAAGGGTATATAACCCATTCATTACTTACGTGGGCTCCAGTGCATTTTTGTTGGGGGGGTGTGGAAAAGGAAAAGGGAATTGCAAGTGCTTTCTAACACTCCATGGGAGAGCTGTTATTCTTCTTTTCTGGCTTGTGTACATTGAAAAGGAGACAGTCTTAGTCCTCCTCTTCAGCTACACTTCAGGCTCTGCTTACTGACAGCTTCTGTGAATATGTAAGGTGTACACGGCTGGGCTGAGATGGACTCTCAGGTACTGTAAGTTCCTTCCCTTTTCTGCTGTGCTAGAGAAGGTTTCTATATTATTTAAAACCAAGTTAACAAAACTGAGTTTAAAAAAATAATAGTGTAATAGTGTAGCTCAGTTCCAGATGACTCAAATCATCTGCATCAGCCTTCCCTGATCCAGACATGCCCTTCCTGAGGAGGCTGAGATCAGAGCTCGAGTATTTGCATTCTGGATGCATTTGCTTGCTGCCTTTAGATCTAGGTAGAATATCCACCCTGCGTTGCCAAAGTTCTTTCCATTGCTCAGAAACATACCCTGGTTAGGACTTTCCATCCCAAAAGCATTTGCTGCATTTTTCTTCCTCCTTCTGCTTTTGCCCTTCTCCTTTATCCCTTACCCCTTTTCTGACACCAACACAGTAGAAGGAAACAAAATCTCACACATTGAACTCCCGTTTCTGATAACAAATGAAGCATTTACACATCATCTCCATGTCCATGCCCAGGCATGTAACTGAATGAGATGATCATGACTTTCTAGGAAGAATATTTTTCCCAAAAGGTTTTAGGTGGTAGCATACAATGGTGAAGGGTTGTATAAAATGCTACATGGAGGGCTTCTGTTGAATCAAAAATCTTTGCTGTCCTCATGAGAGCAGTAAGAGGCATTAGGTACTGCCAGCATTCTCCTCCAGCTCATGGAGGGGCAAAATTCAGGGGGAAAGGTAGTAACTGATGCAAAAAGAATGGAGGGAGCAAAGAGTTTACTAATGAAATCTTTCTTGTCACCAAACCAGAGCAGAGGTGGAGTGTAATAACTGTTGAGAGATTGTTAAAGATTTCTTTCACTTACAAGAATGTGGAAAAGCAGGTAAGTGTAAAAAAGCAAAGGTGGCTAGAAATATTTAATCATTTTCTTACTTTCTAATAATGAAAGTAAATCTACATTTCTTAATTTAAAACCAACATTTTCTAATTCTTCCACTCTAAACATTTTGAGCTTTTTCTTGTGGTCAGTTGATACATGTCTATGGAATTTTGACTTCCAAAGCACTTTCTATTTGCAACAGATTTTTGTTGATTCTGTGATTTTGTCTAAACTTTAAAACCCAGCCATAGCATTTGGGCAACACAAGGAATGGCAGTGTAAACATCTGAAAGATAAATATAATTTAAAACTTCGTGCTAAACATTTTGTATTATGGAGTCAACAAGAACCATTGTAATAGTTAACAAATAATAAGAGGGAAACTTTGTGGGTTTTTTCATGGTTCAAAGTAAAGATAAAAGTAAAAAATAAATAAGATCTTGTTTGTTATCTTGAATGACCTGCTGTATCTTTAGTTGTGTCTTTTTTAACAACCTACAACATTTCGTAGTCACAAAGACAACGATGATACAGTTTACTGTTTATCATGTCCACTTTTAACAGAGCATGCTAGGCCAAAGGGTAGGAAAAAAAATGTTTTCTAGTACTAGGAGTTATTCCCCATAGATGCAGTTAAAATCTCTTAACAGAATTTTTATACTCACTGCCTGCAGTTGGCTTTTTTTTTGCAGACATAAAATGAGCCAAAATGTGAACGAAATTTGTATGCCAGGACTTCAGAATCCAGCGCTCTATCTTATATTCATAATCTCTTCTACTTTCAAGAATCAAATATCTTCCAAAAACTATGAAATTCTTTTTAGAAATGACAGGATTACTATTTTAAGTTGCAAAGTATGTGTGTTTCCTACATGGTGTCTGGGCCTCTAGGGTGGCAATTTGCAGACTCACCCTAATAGCCATAGTTATTACAAATCAAGGTTTTAGTAAAATCAGATAATTTTGAGAACATCACTAAAAATGTCAGGTATGAGGAGGTTGTGTCAATTATGAGATTTGATGGTACTTCCTATTTAGCAGATAGTCTCTAAAAAACGGTGAGCTCTTGCAATTTGTATTTGCAATGGGAATTTAATTAGTGGTTTCTGCTGATGTACCTTTTAATTTCCCAGAATCACTTTATATCATGGCAACAAGCATAGGATTATTTTGGTTCAAGTGCAATATTCTGCAATTTCATACTTGTGCTTTAAAGCAGTGTGCTCAAATCATCATAATAATTAGTGGGGTTTACCTCTTTTTAATTACTGGCTCAAAGCCCAACTTTCTCCACTCTGAAGGAGATGTACTTTGCAGACATTAGATGGCCGGCCATTCGGGGTTTGGTTCCACATAGATTTAGACTGAGCAATTTTTAAGCAGATTGTGCTAGAGGTCACAGAAATTCTTCTGTTGGGTTGTAATTTCATTTCAATAAATGCCTTTTTAAAAGCAGAGGCAGATTGTTGCCATCTTAGTTAAAAGGTTTTTTTTAAAAATTACAGTACACAAACAACAACTTTAGGGCTCGTAATTTGCTCTGTTCTTTACCACATTCAATAAAAAAGACCTTCCTTGCTTTGAAGAGATTTTTCTGTCAGAGAGAGAGAGGGAGGGAGGCAGACAGATGGCATAATGCAAGGAAAAAAACAAAGTTGGAATAAATTAATAAATTGATTGATTAGTGAGCTGCATAAATTATATTATGCACCTTTTAGTATAACTTAGGAATTTACAGTTCTGGACATGTAGTTTTTAGTAAAACATGAAATCTTGCAGCACAGTTTCAGGCTACCACATTTTTTTCTTTTCCTACACTGTCAGCCTTGTTCCTGCCTGTATTTTCCAAACTATTCTACAACTGTATCAAGAACAATTTCATGCTGCAGGGTTAATATGAGGCTCAGGGAGTCCCAAAAGAGGTTCCCCTTTTAAAATTAATGGCTGTTAGGCACTTCTGTGTGACAGCAATCTGAATTCCAAATAGTGTGATTGCACTCGCAAGGAGAGTGCTCTGTCAAAGAGCAGCATTAGCTTTCTCTGGTGAGATGACTGGATGACTGAACTTCTCTTTGGTAAACCAAACTGTTAAACTTGTTTGGATAACTGATTAAGGAATTAACCTAACACACCAGCATTATCAGTTCCATGATGCAAATTAAATGGCTCGGCCAAGATTTTCACATTTACCTAGTTTCGGTGCCACCCTTAAGGTATGTAAAGGAGGGCTACTTTCCAGGTCATAGGAGGTGCTGGCATCTCTTTGGGACCCGTCTTCTCAGCAGCCAGCTTATCAGATGATGCCTGTTAGACTTCAGAGAGAGGATAAATCCCAAATCACTATTAATTTTTAGTGTAGCATTAGTCTTTGATTCAACAACTCTTAAAAACATGTTCTACATCTTACTGCATAGATAGCCAACTACAGAATTAATGTTTACTGTTTTCACTTTTTTCCATATAGATCCATGATGTTACATCAACGGCTAGTACTTGTCTTTGGAGTATCACTAGCTAGTTATATATGTGCATTCAAAAGCTGTTACTTAGAAGCTCAAGTCTCCCTATATTATTTCTACAGTCTCACAGAAATTCCACTTGTGACAGAGGATATAGTGAAGCTTCTTCTAACTTTCAACTATATCACAGAGTGACTGCAACCTCATTTCCATGCCTGGAGCACTTGTTGGTGTTGGAAATCGGAACACGGTATGTTTATCCTGCTACCATAGGAAAAGGAGCTTTCAGGAACCTGCCAAATCATTGTATCTTGGACTTGGGATCCAATAAGATTCTTCAATGGGATGTTGATGCCTTTCTAGGCTTGCCAAAAGTCTGACTGTACTCCATCTGTTTCAGAACTACCTTGGAGACTCCATCCTGGAGCAACGGTACTTTCAAGGTTTGAGCTCGTTAGAAGAATTGGATCTTTCGGGGAACCAAATCACAAGACTTCAGCCTCATCCTTTATTTTATAATTTAACAGTCTTGAAAACTGTGAATCTGAAATTCAACAAGATATCCAACTTGTGTTAAAGCAATCTTACCAGCTTCCGAGGAAAGCACTTTTTACTTTTTAGCCTCAGTTCTAATGCTTTGTACAAGATAGATGGAACAGCCTGGGCCAAATGCCCAAATCTTTTCAGAAATATTACGTTTAACTGGCTAGACCTTAGTGAAAATGGCTGGAGCACAGAGAAAGTCCATTATTTCTGTAGAGCCATTAGAGGGACTCCAATCAGTTCCTTAATATTTAGCTCACATACAATGGGATCAGGATTTGGTTTTAATAACTTTAAAAATCCATATAAGGAAACATTTTCAGGACTAGCAAGAAGCGATCTTCATTCACTTGATATTTCAAAAGGTTACATTTTCTCTCTTTAATCTTTCAAAGCCTTCGAAATCTGGAATCACTGAATGTTTTCAAAAATAGGATAAATCAAATCTAAAGTCAAGCATTTCTTGGCTTGAGAAATCTAAAAGCTCTCAATCTCTCACGTAATCTTTTAGGTGAGTTGTATGATTATACTTTTGAGGGACTGTATAGTGTAACATGTATTGATTTACAGCAAAATCACATTGCGATGATTGGTGAAAAATCATTCAGTAAGTTAGTAAATCTGAAAGTAATTGATCTCTGAGACAATGCCATTAAAACATTCCCTTTCTTTCCACATTTGACCTCTGCCTTTTTAGGTGACAATAAGTTAATGTCTTTAGCTGGCACAGCAATAGCAGCAACACACCTTGAATTAGAAAGAAATTGGTTGGCAAACCTCGGTGACCTGTATATTCTTTTCCAAGTTCCAGATGTGCAGTATATCTTCTTAAAACAGAACCACTTCTCTTACTGTTTGAAAAGTGATAGTGTTATAGAAAACAATCAGTTAATCTATATAGATCTAGGTGAAAATATGTTACAGCTCATGTAGGAGAGAGATTTATGTTTGGATGTGTTCACGGCACTGCCCAAACTTCAGGTTCTACATTTGAATAACAACTACCTTAGTACTCTTCCACAGGAGATTTTTAGACGTCTAACATCTCTAAAAAGACTTAATCTACTTTTGAACTTATTGTCTCATCTTTCTGCTGGGCTTTTTCCACAAAGCCTAGCAAACCTAAACTTATCTGGAAACCAGCTTTTTTCCCTTGAGCCTGAAGTCTTTATGACTTTGAGTATCCTGGATATAACACATAATAAATATGTCTGTGATTGAACTTTAAAGAATCTACTAGTATGGCTAAATTAAACCAATGTAACGCTAGTTGGCTCACAGTCTGATAGGTACTGTGTAAACCCACCTGAATTTGCAGGGATACCACTGTCATCTCTGACATACGATGGTTGCAATGAAGATGAACTCCAGCAGGCACTCAGGTTCTCACTATTTGTCTTCACATCTGTCACTCTTCTAATGTTTCTGATGGCAGCCATCATTTTTACTCACTGTCGGGGGATTTGTTTTGTCTGGTATAAAACTATCATCAAAAAAATGATAGACAGCCGTCCACAAGCAGCAGATAAAAGTGAATACAAATATGATGTGTATTTGTGCTACAGCAAAAATGACTTTGGATGGATCCAGAATTCTTTGCTAAAGCACCTGGATTCACAGTATTTTGATAAAAACAGATTTACCTTGTGCTTTGAGGAAAGAGATTTCTTGCCTAGGGAAGAACACATCAACAATATCCGTGATGCCATCTGGAGCAGGAAAACAATTTGCATTGTGACCAGGTAATTTCTCAAAGACAGGTGGTGCGTGGAAGCCTTTAATTTTGCCCAGAGCAGATACTTCTGTGATCTGAAAGATGTCCTCATTATGGTAGTAGTTGGGTCACTTTTTCATTATCAACTGATGAAACACAAAACAATTCAAAACTTTTTACAAAGGAATCAATATTTGTGGTGGCCTGAAGATTATCAAGATGTAGCCTGTTTTTTAAATAACCTTTCTTGTTAAATTATGAAGGAAAAAAAAGTGCGAAGGAAAGCCAGTGGTATAGAGCTGCAGACTGTAGCAACAATTTCAAATTGATAGTGGATGGGTTGCTGCCTTTCCAAATATCCCACTTCCAGCTGTGTCATGGCAGGAATAAATAGAAGTTTGCTTCACCTTTCCTTGAAAAGCCAGGCAGAATGAGAACTATTTCAGTATAAATCCCACTAAACATGAAGACAGCTTGAAAGCAACCAGTGCAATTATTTGTGGACTATGACACACATTTTCAGAAGAATGAAACAAATTGCAGATGCTTCACGTTTTGGATGCTCAGCTTCAAACACTTTAGTCCCAATTTCTGGACTACTACTTGCTCACGGGTCTGTTTCAGCTACAGAAGGATGCCAATCCATGGTTGTTTTTCATAAAAAGAGCCAATGGTACTGTACGGGAGAAACCAAGTGTGCTTTCATCTATGGCCTACCCTGACCGTCGGTTCACGGATTACTTCTGTGCCTTCTGAACTCTGGAACTTTTCATACTCTGTTTTCAAAGCAGAATCAGTGCTTTGCACCTTTATGCTTCAGACTGGTGTAACACAGATTTCATTTATTTGTCTTCTACACCATTAGCCTTGGCTTCTGAACTGGAACGTACAAACTTTGAACTTCATCCGTCCCCCTCCACAACTTCTCTGTTTGGCAGCAGAACTATGGTCATCAGTCTACTTTATTTGTTGCTGTTTCAGTCTGGTGCTTCTTCAGTGAAGCTGACTCCTGCCCCGGAGAGGGGAATGGGTATCCCCTTTAGATGGGAACTAGCCTGAGCTTGAAAAGCAAACAAGAAACTACCTCAGCAGCTGTGCGGGCTGCACACCAGGGACATGGCCAACAGTCCCGTGACGGCCAGACAGCTTTCACATCGTGGGAGTACAGACAACTGGTGTGTAATTTGGGTTGTTGTCTGTACCTCTTGTGTCCTGATCAATTCTAAAGGTTTCCTCTGTTTCTGTCAAAATAGAGTCATAAATGCCTGGTACTCTCCTACCTCTCTAATCATTTTACCATTGATTGTTCAGGTATGTGTCTTCAGAGGCTTCTTCAGGGTCATTTTAATAGAACTCTGTTATAGAACCTGCACCTATTTTTTGGTGGTGAAATACTTCCTGAGTGTACTCTTCATCTCAGTCTATATATTTATTCAACAAAAGCTTACCAAAACAATTTCAGTAAAGCTTCAGTGAGTTTTTTGCTCTGAAGGTGAGGAAGTCTGAATGGGAGGTTTTATAAGCTGTCTGTCATGACCTTAGCTGCAAACAAGTAATATCATTTTAAGTATTTTGATAGAGATGGAAAAGTACAGCCCACTTCATGAGAATGTGCATGTTTGAATATAGATGTGCCTGTGGCTGATCTAATTTACTCTCAGTGCACCAGTATACAGGATTTTTATTGATAAATTTACTACCGTATAATATTACTTCCTTCTCAATCTGTGCAGTCTGTCAGGAACAGGACAAAGCTAAACCTTGGAAATTTTTCCAGGCAGCACGGGGAAGCAGATTAAAAGCCAGGATTGCCTGTGCTGATGAAGCCCTGGGTGTCGCTGTTGGCTCAGGTAACAGCTGGGGCTTCCCAAACTCCTCCTGCCTCCTTTCCACTGCAGCTGCTGGCATTAGGGAAAAAAGTGCTGCTGCAGAAGGAGGTCTGGAAAAGAATCTGCAGCCCTGGCTTCCCAAAGCCCCCGTGGGCTGTCAGAAAAGGGTTTCCAGTCCAGAGAGTTAAAATTTCTTACATTTCTCTGAAAATGTCCAACATTTTTCCTTTTTTATTCCCCCAATCCGTCCAAATGTTTATAGGCATCCTTTAAAGTCAGAGGTTATATCAGAGAGTACATCCCGTAAAAACCACTGTCGGATAAAAAAAAAGGAATGAATCTGCACAGCGAAGATCATGCATAGGTCTAGGCTGTTGATGTATGGATCTGTACATGATGTAAGAGATGGGAATTTTAAAACCATACTTAAGAAATTATATGTGAATCCATGTCATGAAACATTTTTGATTTTGATGAACATTTGTGTTAATTGAGAGCCCTCTCCACTTAGGACCTTACTGTATATTTACAAGACACCCCTGTCACTTCGGTTACTTAAAACTTAGTTCTGCTAACCTATGTATGCAGGAATGGCAAGCAGACACGGAGATTACCAACATGGCTTTAACGGAGGCTTTTCCATTTTGTTTGAAATGGTTGTCTACTTCATACTCATGCCTCTAGTGGAAGGTGGCTACATAAAACTTCCATTTACTTCAGTCTTTGGGAAGGTCTGACTTTTTAGGTAAAGGTTTTAATAAAAGCTTTGGATGAAATGCCATTGACTGCCTCCATGCTTATTTAATTTTCTTTTCATTTTTCATTTGTTTCATTCTGGAAACTTAATGAGATCAAACCTGTGTCAGGAGCAGCTTGGAAGACTTCTTTCTACCACAGAGGCAGCTTAGAAACATAGAAGTAGCCCAGCACCCCATCTGTCCCTTGAAAACTCTATTGGAAGGGGCCTACAAAAGGCAGTAAAATTATTTTTGGAGAACACACTAGTGAACTATTCCTGATTGTGGAGTGGTTTACAGGCATATGAATAACTTCAGTGTCAAAATTTAAAGAGATCCAAAATAACTTTCTTTTCTACACACTGTGAAACCACTCCAAGTGTGAGACTCTCATAACAAATGCAGTTGGTACAGTCCATCCTCTACAATGAAAAATTGACTTCATATAGATCACAGGACCCTGATCACCACCTTTGTAGAGTCACCTATTCTTAAATGACAAAGCCTGGGGAATTGTCAAGAAAGGGCTTGTGCAGACTTTATACTCGTCTGC